TAGGGCATTGACTAAGGAGACTATACTGGATAAATTCTCAATCCCGATGATCGATGAACTACTAGATGAGATGTATGGAGCAGTAGTGTTTTCTAAGATGGACTTGAAGTCGTGCTGCCATCAAATCAGGATGAAGGAGGATATTCAAAAAACGTCCTTCAGGACGCACAAGGGGCACTACGAGTTCTTGGTGATGTCATTTGGGCTCACTAACGCCCCTGCTACTTTCCAGTCTTTGATGAAAAGGGTATTTCGGCAATATCTCCGAAAGTTTGTTCTGGTATTTTTTTATGACATTCTGGTGTACAGCAAAACGGATGAGGAGCATCTGGAGCACTTGAAGGTGGTTTTGAAAGTTTTACAGAAGCATCAGCTGAGGGAAAACCTAAATAAGTGCAGCTTTGCCCAGTCTAGCATGGAGTACTTGGGACATGTAGTGGTCCAGGAGGGAGTGGCGGCCGATTAAACAAAAATTGAGGCAATGCAGAAATGACCTATGCCTAGGAACTTAAGGGAGTTGAGGGGATTCCTAGGACTAACTGGGTACTACATGAGATTTATGAGGGGGTACAGTACCATAGCTTAGCCCTTGATCGAGCAACTGAAGAATGACTTTTAGTGGGGAGAGGCAGCAACCCAAGATTTTGAGAGATTGAAGAAAGCCATGACGACAATATCAATTTTAGCTCTTCCGGACTTCAGTCAGATCTATATAGTGGAGACTGATGCGTCAAGATATGGGTTGGGGGCAGTGCTGATGCAGAATCACAAATCTATAACATACTTCAGTCAAGTGCTGTCAATCAGGGCTAGATTTAAGTTGGTGTATGAGAGAGAATTGATGGTCATTGTCTTGGCCATTCAAAAGTGGCGTCGTTACCTTTTGGGTAGACATTTCATTGTCCGAACGGATCAGAGGAGCTTGAAGTAAATGTTGGAGCAAAGGATGGTGACCAAGGAGCAATAGAGATGGTTATCCAAACTATTAGGCTATGATTTTGAGATCCAGTATTGTCCTGTAGTAAAAAATAAGGCGGTCGATGTCTTATCCAGATGTGTTGGGGAACTTCAGAAGTTGGCTGTTTCAGTATCATTAATGGTAGACTAGGGGGCCATTAAGAAAGAAAGCATGCATAATGAAGAGTTAAGAAAGACCATGGAGGATTTGATGAAAGATAATAGTAGCTATTATGGTTACTATATTGAGGGGGAGGGGTTGTTGCATCAAGGGAGGTTTGTGATGCCACGAACTTCCAAATATATTCCTCACTTGTTACAGGAGTTCCATGTCAGTGCAGTTGGAGGTCATTCATGAGTACATAAGATGTATAAAAGGCTGACATATGAGATTTATTGGAAGGGGATGTATAATGATGTTGAGGAGATGGTGGCGAGGTGCAAATTGTGCCAGAGAAACAAATATATGACAATGGCTCCAGGAGGACTACTACAATCCTTAGCACTTCCAAATAAGAGTATGGGAGTAAGTGTCCATGGATTTCATAGATGGCTTACCACGATCAGAAGAATTCACAGCCATAATGATGGTGGTTGACGGACTTAGTAAGTATGCACATTTCATCCTCTTACGACATCCCTACACTGCAGTGACAGTGGCGGCAGCATTCATTAGGGAGGTGGTTCGACTGCATGAGATTCCTGAGTCGATTATGTCTGATCGAGACAAAGTTTTCTTCAGTTAGTTTTGGAGGCAGCTGCCCAGATTGCAGGGCATTATTCTTACGAGAAGCACCGCCTATCATCCGCAGACAGACGGTCAAACAGAGGTGGTGAATCAAAGCTTGGAGACTTATTTGAGGTGTTTTGTTTCAGAAAAGCCACGGATGTGGGCTAAATAGTTAGCATGGGCCCAATATTGGTACAATACTTCATACCATCTGCATCTCATATAACTCCTTTTAAAATATTGTATGGAAGAGACCCCCACACTTAGTGCATTTTGGGAAAAGGAGCACACCAGTTTATTCAGTTGAGCAGTACTTAGAGGAAGGGATAAGGTGTTGGAGAAATTGAAAAAACATCTGTCCATGGCACAATAAATCATGAAAAAGTAGGCAGATAGACATAGGAGGGGAATACAATTTGAAGTTGGGGTGAAAGTATTCTTGAAACTAAGGCCTTACAGGCAGAGATCAGTTACCAACAGGAGAAACGAGAAATTGGCTCTGAGGTACTTTGGCCCCTATGAGATTTTGGACAAAATCGGAGCAGTGGTGTATCGTTTGAAGTTACCCTCATCCGCCACCATACACCTAATTTTTCATGTATCACAGTTGAGAAGAGCTCTAAGGAAACATCTACTTTGTGCAGAGTTGTCAATTACACTGACAGAGGACTTGGAAGTGGTCTTAGAACCACTAGAGCTGGGGGGAGTCAAATCCGATAAAAAGAGAAACAAAGAAATGCTTATCAGATGGAGGGACCTTCCAGATTTCGATGCCACTTGAGAGCAATATGAGATAGTGAGGCTCCAATTACTTCTTTTCACCTTGAGGGGTGAGTCTTTGGGAAGGGATTAATGTTAAGTCAGCCCAAAAAGGGCCAGCTGAACCAATCCAACCTGGACCGATTCTCTACTACAGCAGGCAGCCCAAGCCAGTTGGGGGCAGAACCAAGGGGAGGGGGCGGATGCCCTAGTGGGCCCAATTGCTTAATGTAATCGTTGTTTAGGAGGGAAAGTTTGAATTAAGGGCTGTTTAGTCTTTTGGTAAAAGTCCTTTGGCTTTAATTAGTCTTTTTGGTTAGGGTTTTCTTTTCATCTTGAATTTGGAAAAGATTTTAAATCAAGGGTTTGTTCTTTTTGGGCTATAGGCTTTGCTAGAGATTTAGAGAGTTGTTTCTTCCTCTCATATCAAAGAAACGTGTATCTTGTATTGCTTTTCTTGTCCATGGATTGAATAAAAGAAGATTGCATCGTGTTTTCTTTCCAATCTTCTGAAATTCTAGCATTGTTGTACTGATTTCTCTCTGAAATCAACTTATTTCTCACTATTTTCACCAATTATTGATAGGTTTGCTTGCGAACTCAAGTATTCCCCCTTAGGGTTACTTGTGAACTCAAGTACTTCCTATCATACAGCACCATTCCTCTTTTCAGCTATTTGTAATTTGATTTTTTCAGTATTTCTTGTCTAGCCACTGCTTAATCCTTTCTTTCACTTTTCCAACAGCCATTCAATTCAAGATTGAACCTGCCTTTTTTTTTCAGTCCTTCCAAATTATTGTCTCGGTGTCACCATGCATGGAAGATGATCGACTCAAACCATCCAAGTTGACCAAAGCCAATCAGCAGCAATCAAGACAAGGCAGGTTCGATCTTGTTTAAACACCAATTCAAGCATTCTTGAACTCATGTTCGACCATCCATAATTCATATAGAGGTCAATTCAAGCCAATCCGAGATCATTTGGGCATTGCTTTAATGTGTATCAAATTTAGCGTGATCTTTTTTAGGTGCTCAAAATTCATTGTGTCTAAAAAATCATACTCGAATGAATTGGAGCTTTAAAGATCCTATAATTTCTAAATTATTAATCCAAAACACACCTTATATACACATTGATCTTATATCAACACTGGCTTATAATTTTCAATCTCAATTTAAACTAAACTTACACATTGTAGATAGTCTTAAATAAAATTATATATAGCATGTTCAATTTTTTTCCTAATAATCCTAAGCCCTTTATCTTCTAAAAATTTTCTTCGTTATTCTAATCTTTCATAAGAGTACACTGACAATAGCCCTAGTGAGGGGATTGTGCCTTTAGACGATCAAGTTATTAATAAGAGTACATGTTCTAGATATCTTGGATCTATTGTTCAGTGATGGTGAAATAGATGGGGATATTACCAGCAGAATTCAAGTTTGTTGGTTGAAGTTAGGGGTGTCAACTTTTGACCCGACCCGACCGTTTAGATCCGGGTTGGGTCGGGTTCGACCCGAACCCGACGGGTTGACCCAAATTGACACCCCTAGTTGAAGTGGAGGAATGCATCGGGCTTGTTGTGAGATAGAAAAGTCCCCCACAAACATAAGGGAAAATTTTATAAGATGATGGTGAAACCTCCAATGCTTTATGGTGCCGAATGTTGTCCATTAAAAGAGAATCATAATACTGCGTTAAGCATTGCAGAGATGATGATGCTTAGGTGGATGAGTAGCTTTACCCTTAGAGATAGGATACGAAATGAGCATATACGTTAAAAGGTTGGAGTAGCTCCAGTGGAAGAGAAGATTAGAGAGATTCGCCTTACATGATTTGGTCACATTAAACGGAAGCCTTCTGATGACCCGATTAGGAAAGTTGAGGTATTAGATTTGACTTATGTTAGGAAAGGTAGAGGTAGACCTAAAAATACTTGGTTATAAAGTATTAGAAATGATCTTTCTTTATTAGATTTAAATGAGAATTTGACTTTACAGGGCGCAATGGCGAAAAAGGGTTCATGTAGCCGACCCCACGTAGTGGGACAAAGGCTTGATGTTGTTGTTGTTGTATTCTAATCTTTCATCTATTAAGTAAAGGTCTCACTTATTAGAATCATGTTGCATGCTAAGTGAGAATTCTATTAAAATAGGTAAAAAAACTAGACAACTGATCAATCATGAAAAATGAAGGCTACATGAAGAATTAGGTTCATTTAAGTGAAAGATATGGTATAAACTAATTAGTATTTCTACAACGTTCACAAGATCATCGTTGATGAAATTATCCAATGGAAGCAAATGAAGCTTAATTACGAGTGCTTAATTACATGGATAATTGCTAAATAAAAGATTAAATTCAATCAACAAAAGTCTTTCACTCAATCAATGAAATTGTGGTTAACTTTACACAAAAAGAAACAAACGAATATGCTGTTTAAAATCATTAATATGCTTTTTTCATGAAATTTTGTATCATTAGCTGGAGGATCAAAAAAGATTATAAACAAGAGAGAATTCCTTTGTTATTATAAATAATTCAAGGACATACTGTTTTAAGAACTCCTTTCTCATGATTACACTTTCCCTCCTGAGTGAGAAATTTTGAGAAGAGCCGAAGAATGCAGAGCTCAAAGAGCACTGTTTTCCCACTTCCAGTTGGGGCCGATATGATCATATTTATATTGGAAAGATAGCACCCACAAAAGCATTCACTCTGCAATGAATTAAAGTACCTATAGACAAACAATTAACAGATTTATCAGATCTTTATCTGAATTTGAGAAAAAGAAACTCCCATTAAGAGCAGAAACACTAAATTACTTGACAAATAAGATTATAAGTACTTTTTTTGGAATTGTGTGCGACAAATCGCAAAGTATTTGGCTTAATGGAGAAAGGACTTTATCCTCTAACAAATGGTCACCGATCCCTTCACAAGACTGTAAGTACCTCAGAAGTTTAAAGGTTTGGGCTATTTTTGAGTGAATTTGAGTATAGTCCAACAGCTTTTAGATAACTATATCACAATGTACAGAGATTCTTTGTTATTGTATCCTCGGTGAAGGACATTTCACAAAGTACATTGTAAATTGGCTGAAGTTATGAACTATCAAATGACTAATATTTATATTTATGAGTCAACCTTGGAAGGTTTAACTCTATCCAGAACAAACTAGATGTGCTAATATAAATTCTAACTTGTCACTATACAGAGCTTGAAAATACACAACCATCCATGGTAAGAAACGTAAAATCTGACTAACAAGATTCAACTGCCACACAGAAACGAAATGGCATTGTGATATATTCTCAATAGAAATAAGGATATCAGTACACTTACCTGAAACTAAACATGGAACGAAATGGAGAAGGCAACTCCAATACAGATCTCAGAGCATATGAGTCCATGGATGATCTCATCTCACCAAAATCCTGCAAACCATAAGCTAGAACGGTTCAAATACTCTCACACGGGATACATTGAAGAAAATATAAAGTAAAACATCAGGCATTTATGATTATTGAACAAGCTAATCAAACTGTGGGGAGCACATACCAGTGTAAACTATCGTACGTATTTGCGCCAAATTTAAAAAAAAAATAACCTAGGCTCATTCCTTCATCAGGAAAGTAGGTCAAATAATCTATCCTTTCAACCCAAACTGTGTAGAAATCTGGAATAGAGAGAGAGTTCGTTATCTAGTGTAACTATAAAATCGGCCAGGAACCCAAACTCCCTGAATCTGCTCCATCCGAGAGTCAACAGAAGTATAACTTTATTGATTCAACGCATCATTGTCAAAGAGAGAGAGAATAGAGAGAGAGAGAGAGAGAGGGACTGGCCTTTTTTTCTCCTTGAGAGCTGAGGGCTTCCTTCCTACGACAGAGGGAGGGAATACAGAGAGACACGGGAAGTTTCGAAAAGATCTAAAGTGCCGTGGACCTTTATAGCGAGTCGACTTTCCAAAATCCTAAATCCAGAAAAACTAAGGGGCTATTTGGCAACAAGCGGAATTTAACTTCAGTGGACTTACTAAATTAAGTTAAATTAGATAATTAATTTATGCATTAATTATGCTATTAATTAATTAATTAATTTACTTAATTATTAATATTTTAATTTCTATTAATTAAGTTAATCAATAATAACTTAGAGGCATCTAGGGTTCGCCTTTCATCTTCTCTTTTCATTGTTGTTGTTCAGCTTCGTTGCTTCGCAAGAGGTGTATAGATTGCACGCGTCGCTTCTTCAGCTCCTTCGTGGTTGTTAGGCTTCGCTCCTTTGACAACTTTCCCTTCTTGTCAGATCGGAAGTTACGACATTTTGATCAGAAGCAAGAACAAGAGCTCGCAGGTTGTGAAGTTAACTTTCTCCCTTTCGCGCGCTTCTAATGTTAAATATCGTTAAATCCGCCGAACCGAGGGATTTAGTAAATCCGGGATTTAAGCCGTAAATCCAGGATTTAACGCGCGCACAAAAACCGTTTGGCTGGATTTAGCGTAAATCCTACTTAAATCTCACGATAAATCCGATTCCAAACAGCTCCTAAGGGAATTACATAAATACGATTTTTTTATGTAAGATTTTTTTAACTATCAAATTTTTATATTTACTCGTATCATTATCAAATTATTACATACCTCAAAATGTGATTGTTGTTCCTTATTTCTTGTGCCACCTTCTCTCCTACTTGATGGATGGCCTTTGCAGTTGTGAATAGAGCTTGAAGTTTTTACAGGAATGAAGAAATGGTCAAGTAAAGGGCAATGGATGGGGAACTATGTTGAGGTGGTGAGATCCTTTGAAAGGATAGAGCCCTCAATGTCCAGATGTGAGTATTAAAAATGCTCCAACTTGTTAGTGGTATAATAAAAAAATGTCTGATGAATAAATGAATTCTAGAAGCATTTGGATCATAAAACTTAGTGTCACATCCCAATCTGAAAGGTGGTACATGGTACGTGATGAAAGAATAGCAAGACATGTTTTGTATTCACAAAAAGAAATATGCATATATAAGTGATATAGTAGGGTAAACAGAGGAGTGAATTATAAAAACAATTCATTAATAAAATGCAAATATTTAATACATCCAAATAACAATAGTTATGATTAGGGTGTCAAAAGTTGATACGACACAATAACTCGACCAGAACCCGACTTGAAATTTTTGGGTTAGACCTGACCTGATTTAAAAACGGGTCGGGTTTTGGTCTATAAATCTGACCCATTTAAAATTTCGAGTCGGTTTGGGTTAACCCGAGAACTCGATAGTGACCCGGATTGACCCGCACGATCTACTTAGGGCGAGTAATTAGTCACTCACTCAAGACTTCGGCCGCTATTAAGTTCTCATTATGCTCTGCATGCTCTCCACTCCCCTCCTCTCCTTCTCTGTTTCGTGACTTCTTATAGGGTTTTCTCTCCTCGGATCTCTGGCTTCGCCTATGGTTTCATATCCTCTCCTTCTCTAGCATACTCTTGGTCTGATGTGTTCACCGTGCACATCTCCTCAGCCTCAAGAAGAACACTTAAACCGTTGCTGTATCACAATTATATTTTATATTTTTAATTTTTAGAAGCTTCACCTATGAGCACCTATGGGAATTATAAATCGTTTGAAGGATTTCGACATTTCGTCATGTCCGTTTGTCACACTTACTTCAGAGATCCGAAGGAATGTTTCGTTTAGGGTTTTCTGATTTGTTGTTATTCTATCGAATATTATCTTGGTTTGTCTCGAATAAGTATAGCATACATTATCTGGTTAGGACTTCTTTAATTTCGCAATTTTTTGGACCTTTTTGCTATTCAACTTGTTAGGGTTTTGTTTTTTTTAGGAAAAGTTAATTACTTTTTCAGATTATTGATTCAATATATAATTTTTCTTGTTAGTCCTTCCCATAAAAATTGACGGTGTGCTGTTTTGATGACTTGATCTTTTGAGTTAGGGCTTTGCTGTCATTTTAACATGCAAATTGTCAGTTTGTGTTATTACATTTTATTGTCTCTTGGAATGTATGAAGTTGTTTGGTAGATGTTTTTATAACTTTTACATTGGAATTTGAGGCTTCTTAACCGTGTGGGTTGGCTTGTAACTATTTTTTATTGTTGTTCTGATTGTTGTAATCTGTCGTCATCAATTAGTTGTGGTTTTATAAAGTGATGATGATAAACCTTTTGAAATGAAAGTGGGAATCGTATCAGTGTAAGTGCTATTATAATCAGGTGGCATTTGTATTCTCTTCGAATGAGCATATATTATATAATAGAATGAACATATACTAAGTCTATACAGATTCCCACATTGGATGGAAATATACTAATATTTAGTACACTTACAATTCATTATGTGATTAATGATTTAGAGGATTTAATCTTAGCTATGTATTAAAGTTCTCTATCAATTTAACATGTTTTATTGCAGTAAAATCTTTATGAAGCTTGAAGACACATTCTTGAAGCAATTTTTTGGTGCAGCAATTAAACAAATCAGCAAAGTGTAATTTATATTTTATACTTTGTATTTGTGTTTATTACAAACTCTTTTACAATTTGTATTCTATAAATTGATTTGTAATTCAACAATTGGTTTATAGTTTATAAATTGATATGTAAACGATTTGTAAAGAGCAAAATAGTAACGGATATGTAAATGAGCAATTGATTTGTAACTTGTTGTTCGTATTTTGTTTTAATTTTACCTGCTCAACATATTACCTACTGTTTATATGCTATTCATTTTACCTACTCAACTTAAACTTCAACGGATTTGTTTTAATTGTAACTTGTTGTTCGTTTTGATATGCAAATGTGCAACATATTACCTGTTGTTCATAGCTTCAGATCCGGGTTGGAGGGTCGTGTCGGGTTGACCTGGGTCTGAAGTGGGTTGAATTTGGGTACGAGAAAGTGACCCATTTTAAAAAAATAGGTCAGGTCAAATAGTGTCAGGTCAATTTTGGATTAGACCCAAACCCAACTCGTAACTCGATTTTGACAACCTAGTTCTGATACAAGCCAAAGGTAATGTAAATAAAATAAAAGGCAGGAAACCAAAATTACCCAACCCTCAATCAGAAGCAAAATAAACTATTACAAATATAAAAGATCCAAAACATATTACTATTGATAACTCTGCTCCTGAAGTGAAGTCAGTCAAACACACCTGTTGGATCTATTGTAAAAAGAGATAATGGATGAGTTTAATAAATCAAACTTAGCAAATAACTCCTATCTATCAATGCATAAAAGACTAAGGAATGGGGCATGCAGTATGAACAACCAAATGGTGGAAGTAACAACTTATAGTCATCAAAATAAAGTAGTATTAATACATGTCATGTTTCCATAATGAATATATAGTAGAATCGCAATTAAAGCACAATGAAAGCATAGTAAAAGTGTAGTGAATATGCAGCAAAAGCACAACAATATTAACTAAATAATTCATAATAACTGAAACTTACTTGTCAGCATACTTTTTAAAGCAATCGTTTATAAATAATTGCTTATATTTACATAGAAAATCTCTCCTAGTGAATTCCATTATTTTGCAGGTCTAATAATGATTTTAAAATAATTAACATAAATTATATCAACTGGGGGAGCTATAGAGGCTAGGGGGCTTTCTAAACATTTGTGGCCTCTTTTAAGAATATACCATAGCTTTTATAAATCATCAATATAAAAAATAACCAACGAAATCAACTAAAATCATATACATTAAGATATTTTACTATTCATTCACCAAAATATTATTTACACTAGCTACATGATCACTATAATCACTATTGCATCACAAACTCATGAGTACAAAAGAATTAAAAAAATGTAAAATAAACTTCAAAGAAAATATGAGAATCTTTGCCAACCTCACTCTAATTTGCCCTGACCCCTTTCATGAACTAAAATCATTTAAACTAAAAATAATAAGCTAAAATGTCCAGTAAGAAACCAAAACTCTATCACTGCTTCAATACAAGGCAAAAGAATCAATGTGTATGTTCAGTTCTAGTCAATATCAATTATCACTTAATATGGGCAGTAAAATCTCAAAAATAAATACTAAAATTAATATGATTAGTGAAATCAAAAGATATCTATCAAATTATTAGACATACGATAAAGAATAGTATCATTCAAAGAAACATGTTAGTATGTTATATCAATATTAATGTTGGAATGAGCTGTTAATATGTTAATCAGTTTAATATACTATCAATCAAATAAATATCATTAAGAGTATAATTATTAAAAGCAAAGTATTAAATTCAACTTTAATATGATATTTTCTTTCGTACATATGTTATATATCATAGCTTTTAATCTGTCAATCTCATTTAATATTTCATTTATCTTCAAAGGTGGGTTTCAATAATCATTTAAGAGTCGTCATCATCTACCCGTTGGCATAATCCAGTTAATCAATTACAAGCTTCAATTAGGATTACACCACCAACCTTTTATTTAATTCAGTTTGATGAATTTAATCTCTTTTAAATCGATAAAAATATATTTTCTTTTGATTTATTATATTTTTACCATGTAACTTTTCGTATATAATATATATAAATTTTATGAAAATTTTGACTATAATATTATTAAATTTTAACAAGTAAATTAGAAGTTATGAATTTTTGAAATAAATGTATAATATGCAAATTTGATAGATTTCTCTGCATTTTATGACTTACTGTATTTTATACCTGATATTGAGTTATATTGCACAGGAAAATATAGCATTTATATATAAATAATGGAGGATGACTTTGACACCATAATTAATATGGGTTGGCTCTTAAAACATAATATCCTATA